ACGGGTGAGATGACAGGGCGGAAATAGCGCACGACTTCCGTGCACGCTCTCCAAAACATCTCGCGTTCCATCAACGACCAACAGCGAGTTTCATCCCTTGGCCAGAAACGCATTTGCCATGGAAATAAGGGTCTGGTCTTAGCTCCTGGACAGCCACAGGATCGGCCTCAGGCTCGAAACAGCCATACCCGAGCGGCAAGTGGCTCAATACAGGCGCCCATGGCAAACATAGCCAGTAGCAGACCTCTGCATTGTGACACGTTGACCGCCCTGTTTCCCCAGATCTCGCTTCAAGCGTTCAGGCGTCAAGAAAGCGTGCCTTCGCGACGCCTGAAGTCTCGAAGGTGTTATGGCATGGCATGCGTATACCGATTGATCCGCTCAACAGGCGGCAACTGTTTCTCTATATACTATATAATGGACGCAAATGTGCTCATTTGGCTCGGCAGGCAGGTCCACGTTCTTCTCTTCCCACTACCAATTACACACCAAGACAACCTTCGTTTCTACCCGCATTTTCTTAATTCCCAAACGAGCTAGTCTCTTTACCAACAAACAAACCATAATGCATTTCTCAACCATCTTCGCTGCTTCGGCCATGGCCAGCGCTACCTTCGCAATGGATCACAAGGTCATTGTCGGTAACAAGGCTGGCGATCTTGTCTTCAAGCCAGACAGCCTCAAGGCCGCTGAGGGCGACACTGTCACCTTCTCGTTCTGGCCCAAGAACCACTCCGTCGCTCAGGCTACCTTCGCCAACCCTTGCCAGGTAAGATTCTCCATATACGAACTGCGTGTGGGACATACACTGACTTCGTACGTCCAAATTTAAAGCCTATGGACGGTGGCTTCTTCTCCGGTTTTGTTCCGACATCTGATATGGAGAGCGTCGCCAGCACAACCTTCACCTATGAGGTCAAGAATGCTTCAGCTCCCGTCTGGTTTTACTGCTCTCAGGGCATGCATTGCCAGAATGGCATGGTCGGTGTTATCAACCCCCCGTAAGTTTTCCGCTTATCTTGTAGTCGCTTGCTTTCACTGACATTGTCTAGGGCGTCTGGTCCCAACACTCTTGATGCATTCAAGAACGCTTCTGAGAAGGCCACCGAAAACGTATCGCCTACATCAACCGCCGGCACTGGTGGTAAGCTCAACGAAAACGGTACTTCAACATCCGAGTCACCTTCACCTTCTTCAGCAACAGGTGCTGCGTCCCATCTCGCTGGCAGCGCTGTGTTCGCGGGTATGACGGGTCTGTTCACCTTCTTCATGCTCTAAGCGATCGAGCTTGTAGTGCGAAGCAACTGTTATACCCCAGCAAAGATGGAACGAAGCTCTGGCAGACAATGTGCATTAGTATGGTGGAACACCATCAAGAGAAAGTGGCAAAGTATAGGTATTCTTGGTGTTAATTGTATATGAGTATTGAATGAACTAGTCAAAACTCCAACTATGTACGATCGTGTAGTGAGCACTGCTAATTGGGTAACGTACAGAGCTGCATACATGTTGGTCATAGCAGCATGAATGCTAAACGATGGCGGAGTCTAGGTGGCCTGTTAAGAGTCAGCGAAAGCTGTCGAAAACAAGCAGAAGTGTAATGTGAGGTTGAAATGCAAATCAGACATCCAAGGAAGGTATTCGCGCTCATTGACCATCTAAAGTAGGTTCGATTGATGGCTAGCGTGGAAACTGCGAATGTGGAATGCTTTTCATCATGGTGCAGGGATGGGAAGTTGGGAGAGCAGTAGTACTTACAAGAGCAAGTGCTCAAAGCAGAGAAACTGGTGTCAATGAGCATGCGACACAGGGGCGAGCGCTGGATACGCTTGCAGCTGCAGAAGAAGAAGAACAAGAAGCACGTGAACTGAAGCAGAGTGCAGGAAGCTAAAAACTTTTAAGTGGACCCGACCGGGGTTATGTTTCGCCGGGGCCGCAGAAACTTGTTGATGTTCAGCGCATGCATGTGCTTGTAATGCCGGACGTGGCTTCTAGAGGAACTGCCTGGACACAATCACTCAGAGCTATGCCCCGCGTCAGTTTCGACATGTTGTTATCACATGTTCGTTGTGTGGGCTAGTGTTCCGATAGGGCTCACAACTCAATCACAACCTTGCGAAAGCTGACACCCTCCTTCTGCTTCTTGTAGCCCTCCGCCACAGCGTCGAGTCCCTTTCCAACTACCAGTGGTTCTGGGCTAAAGGTACGTGCACGAAGTCAGTGTATGCCTCACACGCACTTGGTACATAGATACTTACACAGCTTTTAGTGTACCCCTTTCCAGCGCCTCTGGCACCCACCGAGCCCAGACAACGTCACCGACGTACTTGTCCGCCAGCGCTACACTTGGACCGAAGACGCTTGTGCCCTCGATACCTTTTGGAAGGCCCTCTGCATCAGGCAGCACAGAGCCATAACGTCCACCGAGCTTCTCGTATACTGGTGCCCAGGCAGCCGCAGCATCCGGTGTACCAATGGCGTCACAAACACCCGCAAATTCCGTGCCTTCGAGAGCAGCGATGATGTCGTGGGCGACCTTGGGGTCCTTGTAGTCAAAGGCTGCTGTTGCGCCCAGGCCTTTGAGCTTCTCTAGGTTGTGCTTGCTCGCTACGCTGACGACCTTTACACCGGCACCCGCGGCTAGCTGAATTGCAGTCGCTCCAACGCTGCTCGAGCCGCCCCATACCAACACTGATTTGCCCGTAGAAGAGGGGTTGGAGGATGGCAAGGGTAACGCGAGGGTCTCCTTCTTGAAGAGGCATGCGGCGGCAGTGGAGACGGCAAGAGGTAGCACCGAGGCCTCGGCGAACGTCATGTGCGATGGAATCTTCGATACGACGAGCGCGTTGCAAGCAGTGTAGAGCTGAAATCCACCGTGCGCGGGGTCGTTAGTCACGAGTGAGAACGCGTGTCTGTACCATGCTGTTAGTTCACAGCCCCGCGGAAGCTCTCAAGGTTGAAGGCGGAAGACGAACCCTAGCACCCGGTCGCCCTTGGTAACGTGTGTAACGCCCTCGCCAACTTCGTGCACCTCACCAGCGACGTCAGTACCACAGACGTTGGGATACTTTTGCAGGAAGATGCCGTAGTCCTGGATTTTCCCTGCTCTAATTAGCAAACTCATTCCTACTAGAAAATGCAGATACTCACAATCTACGGGGTTAACGGCAACGGCGTGGTTCTTAATAACAACCTCGCCCTTGCCTGCCTTTGGCATGGGAGCTTCCTTGACCTGGAGCTGGCCCTTTGCTTCTGGGATCCATGCTGCTTTGTTTGACATGATGGTGGTAATTCTTGAAAGATGTTGTTTCTTGGGAGCAGAGTACAGACACAGATGTGAGGCAAAAACGATGGCTTGTACCTAACTAACGAAAGAAGAGACAGCACCGGTGTACGACGGCGCAACACGCTCGCCGATGCCGTCTACCCACCTTCGATTACTGAGCCTCGGTAGATCTCCAGTTCATGCACACAGATCGAACCCCACATTACGCTTTGTTTTCGAACGTGACTACAGATCTGTTTAGCATGTTAACTGGTGAGCTGGTTATGCGGTGACGTTATCTGAGCAATGATGATGTATAGCGCTATGTCATCGTTGGTGGAGTTAAACGGAGTTTGGTCGGCTTGTTCCATGCGCACGGTTCGAGCCGGGGAGTGCCACGAGTGAACACCTACAGAAACGAGAAGAAAAAGAAACAGTAGAGTAATATGAGATTACGTTGCGGGTTGAAAAGAGTTTCGGTTTCGGAGTACTATTTGGATTCTACGCAATCGCGTTCTTGCTCTGACACGTGGCTATTTAGTTACTGCTTGGAAGCCTAAATTGCATGTGATTTGGGTTCTTGAACAGACTTGATGTCTTCTACTTTATTCATACATTTCAGGTCTTCCCCTTGCGATCTATATACAAACCATTGTTGAACCCTGGCTACTTACGCCAAGATTCGAGTCAAGAAGGTATACATGCAACAGGTTGTGCTTGCAAGTAGCTCTCTGCATAGTTCGCTCTATCTGTTAACTCTTCTTTTGGATTTATTGGACAAGACAAGCTTTTAGCCTGGAGTGTATTCTCTCACATTGCGATTTTTTTGCGGGGCATGCGGGCGTGTGTAGATACAGACTCAATTACACATCAACAGCTTGTTGTCACCCCATACACAATATTGTCTATCACAGCCTGTAATTCATAACGGCCCATTGCTTTAGAGATTGCAATAGATTCAGGGACTGCATGAGGCTACGCTGGATGCGATCATGAACTCGTTAATGTCTGGTATTTGCTTAACCTATCAAGCGTAAAAGGCGAGATGTGTTAGGTATTCCAATTCATCTCGGCTCCTTATTCCAAAACTGTTGGCTTATGTTGTCCTACCTCATTTACGATCTCTGCAGATTTCATGTGCCTCCTGTTCGGCCGAGCGTTGTCATAGGTGTGCAGCGTGTACGCCACCAAAATTTCTCAAGAAGCAGCCTGTCCAGGGCTCCGTGGGCTGCTGCCACAACTCGGCCACTCGTGCGCGGCTTAATATTGGGAGGTATGAAGCTCCAGGTCCTCTCCTACCAGGAAATCGAGAAGTTAAGTAAGTGACAAAACCGCGGCAAAGGCCTCGTAAAGGCTGAGAGAGCGATAAGCGTGCTGCCGAGTCATTTGTGACGCGTATCAAGCCACCGTCTGATTCAAGCGCCAATGCCCCGACAAGCGCAGTAGGTAGCAACACCAACCAATGTGGAGTGGCATTGCAACGGCGCAGCCGAAGCAGATGGCCATGCCGCACTCCGATTGACTTTTGTTGGTTTTCCACCACTACAACCACCCTGCTACGAAACCGTCCGTGAGCGCCTCGCCGAAACGCCCGCGTACTGCGATGCTTACTTGGCCTCGCTGATCTGCATCTCGCAATCGGTCCTGCGACCTGATCCCCACCATCCTCATCAACTACCTAGACAGCGACTCTCCGCCGGCTTTCCTCGCGTTCCAAGATACCTTCTTCGCCACGATGAAGCTACCTCCCATCGCGGTAGCCTGTCTTTCCGCTCTCGCCATAGACTCATGCAGCAACGTAATCGCGCAACGCCTCAAAGCATGGAACGAATCTAAGCCCTTCGTCTTCGACCGCGTCCTCTTTACCCAGTTCGCCATCATGGTCGTACTCACCGCGCCCATCAACTACCACTGGCAGAATTGGCTCGAGCGCGCGTTTCCGGGCTGGAAGACCGTCAAGCAAACAAGGGCTGTAGGCGAAGGTGAAGAGGAGAAGGGCATAATGCTGAGAGGTGATGGAGAAGGAAAAGGCATTGTGGAAGAAGAGGTTAGAGTGAGGAACTGGTGGAATATTTTCAAGAAGTGGTTTACGGACGTGAGTGGCCTATGCTCCAATTGTGGTGACGGATTAAAGCTTACTCGCGAGATACAGTGCATAACCATGGGCGCGCTACTGAACCAGTCAATGTTCCTGATTCTGATTGGTCTCATGAAGGGCAAGACAGTTGCGATGATTGGGCAGGACTTCAGAAACGTAAGTAGGCCCTCTGCCGAAGGGCTGCTGTGTGCAGTGCTAATACTTAAAACAGGAGCTCTTCGGTCTCATCTTCGATTCGTACAAGGTCTGGCCGATTGCCAACTTCTTTAGCACCACCTTCATCCCTGTCGAGCGTCGTATTGTCTTCCTCAGCTTCTGCGGTTTACTGTGGAACATATATCTGAGTCTGGTGGCAGCTCGATTGTAGACGTACCAAGACGCAACATACCAGATTCCGCTTAGAATAACACAAGGAAGATGAGGACTGCGTTACGCTGGTATCTAGATCAAGTAGACATGTTACCACTCCTCGGCCCCTTCTTCCAAGCTTCCATAACCGCTGCCCAATATTTGTTCTCGTCCTCCCTGATATGACCACAGTGCGGACTTTTCTCAAACTGCACCTTTGTCACATTCCATCCCTTTGCCTTGGCAAGATCAGCGTGCTCATCTGCCTCCTCAAACCGAACCATCGTATCCGAACGACTATACAAATACAGACGCGGTACATTGGTATCAAACACCGATTCATCGTTCAGTTCTCGGCAGAGAACTACCATCATATTCTCCCTTCCCGTAGTCTTGTCTGCAATAAATGTGAGGACAAGGAGAAGATGAACCAGCGCCCCACCAAACCAACCCCAAAACGTGTTTCTGGGAAGGGACGCGGAAATGGCTGCATGGCTCTGCATCCACGGGCCTTTGGTCGGACTGGAATCGAGAATCTGTGCTTGCATTGGTAGCACTGTTCCATACTTCTTCTTCCATGCTTTTGCAAATTCATTGACTTGATTCCCGCCGCCGTTTGAGAAACTATGGACAAGGATGCGTCCTCCTGAAGCGGTATGTTCGGCTACAAGATCTGTTGTTGGCTCGAGCAAAGTGGCGTAGGACGAGGTACGGCGGAACATGTCTGGGGTGAAGCATCGTACCAGCAGGATGCGGGATGTTGGGAAAAGCTTCTGGTAGGCAAGTGTGTATTTGGCGATGTGCTTTGCGGCCGCAGCGTTCCAAGTGAAGAGTAGGATGAGCGGAGTTTGCTCTGCGAGTTGGGATAGGTATGATGATGATGTCCAGAGATATGTGTTGTGACCTATCTTTTGAAAATCGGATAGCGGTGTTACCATGTCTGCAACGGGTGGAGAGGTTGATGGCTCCATTGCTGCGTGTGAACAAGGAAGCTGTTATGATGAGGTATATAGACGCCTAGGCAGAGATGTATACTACATTGCGTCTTGTTAGCTAATTGTCAACGACGCGACGACCTTCTCTAGAGCAGGTCTTCGAAACACAGCCTCGAAAGAACACGCTTCCTCGTAATTCACGTACGATTTGCTAGTAATGATACGGCCATAGAGCGAGCAGGTTGCTTCATCAGCTGAGCCAGAGAACACAGAGACGTCAATTGGTAATGATATAAAAGTCCTTCCCAGGAATGCACGTTTAATAGCACGAGTTGAATTCACGACCTTGGCGTAGAAGAGCAACCGAGCCGAGGTACCACCATTATTGGCTATTTACGTCCACTCTCGCAACACGCACCGAGTTGAATCTACGCGACTTACACTTTTGAGTTCTGAGACTATGGGGCCTTGCATTGTGCAGTCTGACATGGTGGTGCCTAAACCGCAGTCTGGTTCTGACCCAACGCCCATGCAGCTGTGGGGCTCACCGTTGCACCCGCCTGCGCCACCCCGATAGCGATGCTTACGCCGCCCTCGCCCACCGCTGCACTCTATCCTGCAGCAAATCTGATGCCTGATTACTTGGAAGTAGAGGTGGCTGTTGAGCGTGTAGTCTGATGTGAAGTGAGAAGATGATTGGAAATAGTATATGGGAGAGCTCAGCTTGACATGTATTTATCTAGTGGGTCGCTTCTCGTCCCCTGCCACAAGCGCCGCCTCCTGCGATGCCATATGCGACTTGTGCGCGTGCTTGTTGATTGTCGTCTGTATCCCATTGCCATGGCCATGGCGGGCGGAACGTCAGGTACTTGTGGAGCGGCGGGCGTATTATTTGCTCCTTTCCTGCCCAATTTGAGCGACAGTAGTATGAAAACAGCTGCGATCAAGATGGCTAGCAGTAGCATAATCTTCCTCTTGATGGTGCGCTTCTGGTATCCAGAGGCGACGTTGAGCTCCTTGTCGGCTTCTTTGACGTCTCGCGACATGTTCTCTACATTGTAATCTATGCGATCGAGCATGCTGCCCTGATCGATGACCATGGTCTGCAGCTCTTGGAAGATGTTTGCTAGCTCGATGATGCCTTGGGCGATGTCTTCGATTTCGCGCTCGCGCTGAGCAATGATTGCTTGATTGGGGTCGTGGCGCATGCGCTGTTGCTTTGTCTGGAGGAGAGTGGACTGGGAGAAGGAGCGATCGGCGTCCGACTCTTGCAAGGCAGGGTCGTTGTAGGGGTTTTGGACGGGTGTTGCAACGCGGAAGGGCGAGGTGAAGCCGCCAAGGTCGCGCAGTTCTCGACAGACTGTTAGCATAGCCAGGGCTGCGAGGCGGGGGTTGTCTCACTCTTGAGGTAGGCAGCCTGCTTCTTGCGGAACATGGCACTGACATGGCCGACGCGGGTTGCCAGTGCGATTTTGAGGTTCTGGGCCATGGCGTCTTCGCCCTGGGCGATGCTGCCCTGCTGTTTTGCGTCGCGGACCATGGCGTCGATGCGCTTGAGGGCTTGCTGGCACTTTTGGAAGAGGCGCGTGATGGCCTGGGTGAGATGCTCAATGTCGCGCTCCTCGCGCCTCTTGACGTCTTCGTCGTCGAAGCCAGGCAGCACGTGCTTCTGGTGCAGCTGGTCGAGCTTGCGTGTCTGCGTGGCGATGTCGGCGAGGTGCTGGGTGATTTCGTCCTGCACGTCGAGCCAGCGCGGAGGCAGCAGGTCCATCTCAATCACGGCGTCGCCGTCGTCGTGGTAGGCGCCGCTGGACATGAGGCCCTGGCGCTCCTCGGACACGCGCGTGCTGTCGCCCAGGCCATTGGAGCGCGGGCGGGCATGGCGCGTCTTCTGCTGGGGGTGGTGGGCGTAGGACTGGCGGTAGGATATGAAGAGGTTGGTTCGGTCCCGCCACATGCTGGGCTGGCGAGGGTCAGCCTGAGAGGACGGCCAGACTGTGAGTGACGGCCGCTTCGCAGGCGTGTCGGCGGCTGAGGTGCGGTGCGCCGGCGAGGGAGCCGCCTTCCCGCTCTGGGCGACGCTAGGCCAGCTCCCCAACAGACGGCCGTCTGACAGCCTGCTCCACTCCAGCCCATCTTGCCCAGCCGCAAACACTACGGGACCCTCCTTCACACCACACCTGCGCCTCTGCTCTATCCACCGCCCCAGCCCATCGTCGCCCAGCAGCCCAGCACCCTTCACCCTCGCACCCACCACCCACCACCCAGAGACAACATGGTGTGTAGCCCCGCCCGCCCGCGCGCCCTCGCACATACCCCGCCCTGCAAAACACGACGACCGCACGCCCGCCCCCAGCCCGGCGCATTGCTAACACTGCCCTCTAGGCCGATTCTCTCACCGAGGAGCAGGTCTCCGAGTTCAAGGAGGCCTTCTCTCTGTTTGTAAGTGGCCGCCCAGCCCTGCCTGCCCACCAACACCAGCTAACCACCTTGCGATGCAGGACAAGGACGGCGATGGTCAGTACTCTCCGTCGCCTGCACCACCCACACCTTGCCCCCCTGGGAGCGCCCTCGTTCCTGCCCACGCAACCGCACTCCGCACTAGACACCCGAGTTTGACCCCGCTGACGATGATGCCTCACAGGCCAAATCACCACCAAGGAGCTGGGCACCGTCATGCGCTCGCTCGGCCAAAATCCCAGCGAGTCTGAGCTCCAGGACATGATCAACGAGGTGGATGCCGACAACAACGGCACCATTGACTTCCCAGGCACCTCTCCCTCCCACTTCTGCCACACGCCCGCTCTAACCTCGTGCAGAATTCCTGACCATGATGGCCCGCAAGATGAAGGACACCGACTCCGAGGAGGAGATCCGGGAGGCCTTCAAGGTCTTCGACCGCGACAACAACGGCTTCATCTCCGCCGCCGAGCTGCGCCACGTCATGACTTCTATCGGCGAGAAATTGACCGATGACGAGGTTGACGAGATGATCCGGGAGGCCGACCAGGACGGCGACGGCCGAATTGACTGTACGTCCTGTTTGCTGCCATCACACGTGTCGCTCTAACACAATCCAGACAACGAGTTCGTCCAGCTCATGATGCAGAAGTAAGCCTCTGAAGTTGCGAGGTGGAATGACTACATGTATTGCGACGGTAGCACGGCTGAGAGTTGATGTCGACGAGGGACGGCACAGTTTGACCTACTTGGCGTGTCGTGTCTTTGTACCCCGGATTCGGTTGCTTGTAACCCGAGTCGCCCGGCTTGTTTGTCAGCGTCTGCAGGGAATTGTCTCCTATACCTATCCTCAATTCACATTCTCACGTATTTACCCCAACTTTCACTTTGGTGCAGAGCCTCTCCTGAATGGTCTTGAGCCACACTCAAGCCTTCGGGTTTTTGCAAGACACGCAGGGCCATGAGGCGGTGCATACCCGGACAAGCTTTGACCGCTTAGCCTGCGGGTCCTTTGCTGATCAGTCTCCATGGACACGAATGCGCGTCTTCCAAGGGTAAACCTTCTTCCTCTGCCCAACTGCGATGCGGATTGCGATCTTCGGCTGCTTCATTGCGATTGCCCTACGCCCCTCCCCCATGATGATCAACGCATCTGCGTCCACCACAGTGAGACAATATGGCAACCTCGCACAAGACACATAGACTTCCAAAAGGTGTGTGGTCGTGCAATTGCTTTCTGTTTGTTATGACCGACTCGCATACTCTTCTATTCGTAGTCTTGTACCCGTATTGCATTGCGAGCAGGAATATACGCAGTCCTCCTCGAGCCGAACGGGTCAAGAGGCCGTACTGCCGCCCCGTCTCTATGTCATCACTAGAAACTATAGGCGAGATCGACACGAAAAGGGAATAAGGATCTTCGGCACACCAAGTCATGGAGAGACGTTTATGGCAAATGCCATCTCCCGTTCGATTATCCACCCACTGACGGGAATCCCCAGCATGGCGACTGCCATCTCATGTCCGAGTCGTCGTCATCGTAAACCACGACGGTTGCGGCCCCATCTGGCTTGGCAAGTAGAGGCGGAGGGAGCCGCAACGTTGCGCAACGGCTTTCTAGGCT